AATACATTCTTTAGTAGTGAAATTTATGGGGCTTATTTTATCTTCCCAATATGGTAATGATGCTTTGAGATATATTCTTTGGATAGAAGTAATTGATAAAGTAAAAAAGTCTATTTACAATAGTATCGATACATTGGAACTCAAATGTCCCAGAAGTCAAACAACTTGGAATCCAAACACATTTTTTGAGGAAATTTTGCTTTAAAAATCAAACTTTTCTTGGAACTCAAACACAAACTAAGAAGACCATATTCAATTCAATTTATTAATTCTTTAAGGGTTAGAATCCCCTGGAATGGGGGAGAATACATTGATTAAAATTTTGTTTAAATTATGAATTGAAATGAAAACAACATACGAGTCGATACATCTTTGATATTGTGCAGAATTATTTTATTAATTATTTTAAATAACAAAAGTAAGGTTATAATTAAATTCTGATCTAATATGTAAAAATTTAATACTATGAAAAAGTAAATGTTGTAATGAATAACTATTAGTTTTACAATACTGACATCTGAAATGATTAAAGGAATACCAATGTTTTTCCATATAAAAAAGAACTTATTTAGCCAGAGTTGAATAAATCATTTTTTCAGATTAAAACTGATGTTCTGGTTATAAATTGTCAAAGGATCAGAAATAGCCAGAAAATAAAAGTTTTGGGTATGAAAAGATGCTGCACTTATTTTAGCTGAATCATTTAAGTAAATATTCTTGAAAGCTATATAAGTATAGCTTAGATATCTCAGAGATGTCTTCGAGATAAGATTCCAGAAGTCTTAAAGAAAAACCTGATAAATGCAAAATATTGTCAAGTATACCAGTTGTTTCTTTCACTAAGTTCTTTTAACTTTAAATATGCTGAATAATCCAGTGAAAGAGGGTCTTTAAATATTCTTCCTATATAATTAAGCATCCTCTTTAATACATGAATCCTAATATCATAAAGATTTAGTTCTGCTTTCAAGGAATAAGGTATGGAATGATCTAATTAAATAACTTTTTATAATACAGCATATGTAATTTTGGTAAATTGATGAAGGTCTTAAATTCAAAATCTGTAGTGTGTGAAAGTATCTACTAATAAATTACCCAAAGACCTATGCAAATAAATATTGATAAATAAATAAGATTGGTGGATTTGATTAAACTGTGAATTTTAATTACTTCTTTTATTGTTGACATAATTTTCACAACAAAAAAGAAACTTAAGAAGTTTCTTTTTTGTTGTGAAAATTATGTCAACAATAAAAGAAGTAATTAAAATTCACAGTTTAATCAAATCCACCAATCTTATTTATTTATCAATATTTATTTGCATAGGTCTTTGGGTAATTTATTAGTAGATACTTTCACACACTACAGATTTTAAATTTAAGACCTTCATCAATTTACCAAAATTACATATGCTGTATTATAAAAAGTTATTTAATTAGATCATTCCATACCTTATTCCTTGAAAGCAGAACTAAATCTTTATGATATTAGGATTCATGTATTAAAGAGGATGCTTAATTATATAGGAAGAATATTTAAAGACCCTCTTTCACTGGATTATTCAGCATATTTAAAGTTAAAAGAACTTAGTGAAAGAAACAACTGGTATACTTGACAATATTTTGCATTTATCAGGTTTTTCTTTAAGACTTCTGGAATCTTATCTCGAAGACATCTCTGAGATATCTAAGCTATACTTATATAGCTTTCAAGAATATTTACTTAAATGATTCAGCTAAAATAAGTGCAGCATCTTTTCATACCCAAAACTTTGATTTTCTGGCTATTTCTGATCCTTTGACAATTTATAACCAGAACATCAGTTTTAATCTGAAAAAATGATTTATTCAACTCTGGCTAAATAAGTTCTTTTTTATATGGAAAAACATTGGTATTCCTTTAATCATTTCAGATGTCAGTATTGTAAAACTAGTAGTTATTCATTACAACATTTACTTTTTCATAGTATTAAATTTTTACATATTAGATCAGAATTTAATTATAACCTTACTTTTGTTATTTAAAATAATTAATAAAATAATTCTGCACAATATCAAAGATGTATCGACTCGTATGTTGTTTTCATTTCAATTCATAATTTAAACAAAATTTTAATCAATGTATTCTCCCCCATTCCAGGGGATTCTAACCCTTAAAGAATTAATAAATTGAATTGAATATGGTCTTCTTAGTTTGTGTTTGAGTTCCAAGAAAAGTTTGATTTTTGAAGCAAAATTTCCTCAAAAAATTTGTTTGGATTCCAAGTTGTTTGACTTCTGGGACATTTGAGTTCCAATGTATCAATACTATTGTAAATAGACTTTTTTACTTTATCAATTACTTCTATCCAAAGAATATATCTCAAAGCATCATTACCATATTGGGAAGATAAAATAAGCCCCATAAATTTTACTACTAAAGAATGTATTTATAATTAAATTGATTTTAGGTAGTTTTAATTAATGAACTGTGTTACATATTTTAATAAATTTGATTAATTTTTTTAATAATTAAATGGTTTTTTTCTAGGGAGGAGCATTATTAAGGCAGACGAGCAGTCCTGGTTTCCATATGATGATTCCATTTATTACAACATTTAGATCAATACAAGTATGTTCTTATGTATTTAATTCTAAATATATTGAAAGTTTTAAGTTTCCTGTTATTTAAGGAAAATCTTAAGAAAAGTTTTTGAAAAGCATGTGATATATATGAGCCATTCACAAGGCAAATTGATTAACTCCACTTTTTGAATTTTAGTGTCAAAGCACTTTATATACTCATAACTTTTTATATTCATAATAATTTTCTCTAATAATAAGGATTAATACCATTTAATGACAATTTTATTGGCCAATGAAAAAAATCAATTAGATTGGCTTCTGAAATAAATAAACTTCATACTGTAACATAAATTTGCCAGCACACACTACAGCATTACAATAGCAGTGTGCGCTGACCAATGTCTTGTAGATAACAGAAAATTATTTAATGTTATTTCATCATAAAAAGTAAGTAAAAGAAAATAGTTACAGTCCAACTGCTGCAGAAATAAGTATACTTGTGAAATATTGATTGTTTTAATTTTGGTGGCAATTGTTTTCAGAAAAACAATTGCCACCAAAATTATACCGTTATATCAAAATGGATGAAACTAAAAATAATTTTATTCATTCCTTTTATTAAACATGATTCTTATAAAAATTTAAGAACAAATGACATGATGGGATCTCAAATACAGCTGATGAAGAAGACATTATATATGTTGCTGAATAATCAATTAAAACAATATAATAATGACCATTGTAACAGAACAGTAGTTATTCATTTTTGCAAAAAATCTTTAATAAAAAAAATGTATGATAATGAAGTTTCTCTATAATAAAAACAACTATAGTGGGTGATCAGTTAACGAACATAATTCGTTCCAAGACTTTCTTTGCTCACTACCCAATTGTTCATTAACCGATTATGAATTTACCATAGGTTTGTATGGGAATTTGATTAATTTGTTCTGGAGACCCCAAAAAATAAAAAATATATACTTTCTTACTACGTTCATTTATATGTAATAATAAAAATACATATATATGCCGTCTTGCATTTTCATTAGTTTTGTGTTTTTTCTTTGTGGGGGTTAAAGAATCTGTCTAATGTTGATTGCTTTTCTCTCTTCAGGATGTTCATTTATATGTAATAATAAAAATACATATATATGCTGTCTTGCATTTTCATTAGTTATGTGTTTTTTCTTTGTGGGGGTTAAAGAATCTGTCTAATGTTGATTTCTTTTCTCTCTTCAGGATTTTCAGAAGTAATTAATAGTATTGTAATTGTAGAGATTCCCAACCCTATTAAACTCAATCTGGTTTGTATGCCATTATAAGACTGTTGATCTGACATCCCCCACTTCTTCAAAAGATCTTTAATTAATAGCAGATATCGGCATTAATCTTCTTTTCTCATAATAAAACATATCTTGCTGAGTTCTTCATACAAGAATTCTTCATTCAAGAGTTCTTGGCATTCTTCTGTCATCAGATCCATTTCAGGTTCCATTATGAGCTCTTCAATGTTCTTTATTTCTCTGATGTGATTTTTGTTACTCCTTTAGCTGCTTGAGTCTTCTTGATTATACTAGATCTTTCTTATATAAGATTGAACTGTGCCCTACTGTAGATTTGTTCAAGCCATACTGCCCAGCAACATCAGACATCTTCTGCCCACTCTCTACCTTTGCTATTATAATTTCATCTTTCGAAAATAAAAACCGACACAAAACTTAATGAGTGCCCACCCGACAGTCTCGCGAATATTATAAAAGAATTGTTTGTCAGAAAAATAAAAGGCTGGAATTACAAGGGAGTATTTCAAAGTTCAAGGGATACTATCTAATCAGTATATATCAGGTTGAGCGTCAACGTCGATGTCTCCCACGCTCCAAAAAGTTACCTGAAAACAAAGGAAAATCAGTCTGTATTTGCTATTTTCGTCACTTCTTTTTATGTTTGTTCAGTGTAGTGTTCATTGTCTGATCATAGAAATATTTTGCGAAAGTGTTCGTTAACTGATCTGTTAGTTAACCGATCACCCACTGTATATGAAAACTGAATTTGATGTTACTATGTTTTTCACTTGCCAAATTGATTAACTCCCTCAATCACACCAAACTCATAATAGCATAGATATTCTATAATCATTATTATTATCTTCTACATTTTATGTCATTAAATAAAAGCTACATCTATAATAATACATTCTACAATGTTTATTTGAATTTATATTTTAAAAGGAATTTTAAAAAAGAATGAATGTTACTTTGTTGCTTTTCTCCACTTTGTTTTATAGAGTTAATCAATTACATGCTACTATGAAAACTATAAAATTTTGTAGTTGGATCTCATTTTAATAGTTGTAATCAAATTATATATAAATTTTATGTTATTGAGAAGGTAAAATTAATACTTATCTTTAAATTCTAAAATCAAGCACTGTTTTACAGGAGAATGCACAATCATTAATACAAATAACAAAAAACATGAGTCTGTAAAGTCAAATGTACTCATATCTAGAAGTACATCATGAAAATATATAGTTTAGAACCCAAATTTTAAAAATTTTTATAAAAAGCATTACAAGTCATTAAAAAAAAAACTAAATAAATGCTAAAACTGACTTTTCCTTACTCTATATGTCTCCATCATTTATAATCCACTTCCATATTTACAAAGTAGCTGAGTCTCTGAGATTTACTATAAAGTTAAATTTCTTTTTCATATTCATAATTTTTCAGCACAACCTATGTCTTTTATTTATCTTACCTTCTCCAATAACCTTGCTTCTTCCCATTTGACATTTTCCTTCTTTTCTAACTGCATAAAAGAAATGAATGGCATACAGTCTTCAAAGTGTAAAGTACTATATTATTTTTCCACCCTCTACAACGATTATTGACACGACTGTGTGCCAGAAATAGCCATTACCTAACGGGTACTTTATGCAGATTCACGTTAATAATCATTGTAGAGGGCGGAAAAATAATATAGTACTTTACAACTGGCACCTGAACAGGGACTCAAAGGTTAAGATTAGACTTGGTTGCTTTCTTTCATAGATTCTTTCATAGACTTTAGCTTTAGAGGAGTAACACCTCGTAAGTACAAAAATGGATGATAGTGCACCTGTAACCAGAGCCAAATATAACCAGCTACAGCAGCAGTTGTCAGTGCTGTTGCAACAAGTATCAACCTTGACGAATGCCAGGACTCATCTGACTTCATGTGTCACGTCTGGAACTGTCGAGCATACAACACAGAACATTACCAGTGCTGTATGGCCCGAAACTTCTACTCCTAGGCAGGAAGTGCCTACAACGTCTAACGCATAGATGGTCTGGCTTCAGACTGCACCACCACCGCCAGCCATCCAATTTAACGGTAGGTCAGCATTAACTGCTAACGATTTCTTGCAGGACCTCGAACAGCATTTCCTGGTGAACCAAATACCGAACACTAGATTGGTGGATACTGCCACTAGTTGTCTTTGNCTTCTTTTTATGTTTGTTCAGTGTAGTGTTCATTGTCTGATCATAGAAATATTTTGCGAAAGTGTTCGTTAACTGATCTGTTAGTTAACCGATCACCCACTGTATATGAAAACTGAATTTGATGTTACTATGTTTTTCACTTGCCAAATTGATTAACTCCCTCAATCACACCAAACTCATAATAGCATAGATATTCTATAATCATTATTATTATCTTCTACATTTTATGTCATTAAATAAAAGCTACATCTATAATAATACATTCTACAATGTTTATTTGAATTTATATTTTAAAAGGAATTTTAAAAAAGAATGAATGTTACTTTGTTGCTTTTCTCCACTTTGTTTTATAGAGTTAATCAATTACATGCTACTATGAAAACTATAAAATTTTGTAGTTGGATCTCATTTTAATAGTTGTAATCAAATTATATATAAATTTTATGTTATTGAGAAGGTAAAATTAATACTTATCTTTAAATTCTAAAATCAAGCACTGTTTTACAGGAGAATGCACAATCATTAATACAAATAACAAAAAACATGAGTCTGTAAAGTCAAATGTACTCATATCTAGAAGTACATCATGAAAATATATAGTTTAGAACCCAAATTTTAAAAATTTTTATAAAAAGCATTACAAGTCATTAAAAAAAAAACTAAATAAATGCTAAAACTGACTTTTCCTTACTCTATATGTCTCCATCATTTATAATCCACTTCCATATTTACAAAGTAGCTGAGTCTCTGAGATTTACTATAAAGTTAAATTTCTTTTTCATATTCATAATTTTTCAGCACAACCTATGTCTTTTATTTATCTTACCTTCTCCAATAACCTTGCTTCTTCCCATTTGACATTTTCCTTCTTTTCTAACTGCATAAAAGAAATGAATGGCATACAGTCTTCAAAGTGTAAAGTACTATATTATTTTTCCACCCTCTACAACGATTATTGACACGACTGTGTGCCAGAAATAGCCATTACCTAACGGGTACTTTATGCAGATTCACGTTAATAATCATTGTAGAGGGCGGAAAAATAATATAGTACTTTACAACTGGCACCTGAACAGGGACTCAAAGGTTAAGATTAGACTTGGTTGCTTTCTTTCATAGATTCTTTCATAGACTTTAGCTTTAGAGGAGTAACACCTCGTAAGTACAAAAATGGATGATAGTGCACCTGTAACCAGAGCCAAATATAACCAGCTACAGCAGCAGTTGTCAGTGCTGTTGCAACAAGTATCAACCTTGACGAATGCCAGGACTCATCTGACTTCATGTGTCACGTCTGGAACTGTCGAGCATACAACACAGAACATTACCAGTGCTGTATGGCCCGAAACTTCTACTCCTAGGCAGGAAGTGCCTACAACGTCTAACGCATAGATGGTCTGGCTTCAGACTGCACCACCACCGCCAGCCATCCAATTTAACGGTAGGTCAGCATTAACTGCTAACGATTTCTTGCAGGACCTCGAACAGCATTTCCTGGTGAACCAAATACCGAACACTAGATTGGTGGATACTGCCACTAGTTGTCTTTGCGGTAGCCCAGCGA